AATTATCAGCATATGTTCTTGGTATATAATTTGTTTTCTTCATAAATCTATTTATTTAATTTCACAATTTTGAACAACATTGCTTTGTAGTCCCAATCCCAACCAAACACTGACACACAACTTTTTTTTGGGTGAGTGCACACAATCCAATTACAGTAAGGCTAAAACCCTAAAATCCTAAAAGTGTGTGAAATTCTTTATTTTTTTATTTATTCACAGTACATGTTAAGTGTTTTCATATTGTCTTTGTCTCCATTTGTTACTTTGCAATTTACCGACTCGTGATTCACCGGATTAGGATCACGTAACACAGATTTTGGACCACACTACAACCTTGGTATCTTCTCTTCATTGTTTACATGTAACTTTATTTATTCATTTTTACTTTTAAATAAAAATTATGAGTATTAATTTATAGTTATTTATTATTTTTTTGCAATTTTATTTGTTATTATTTATGTTAAAATAAGAGATTTTGAAATACTGAAATTATTAATCTTAATTGGTGGTGATTTATATTAAAATTAGGGAATTTGGTTTATTGTTGTTTGTGCTAAAATTAGGGATTTGATTTTTTCTAAAATTAAAAATATTAATTTGTAGTATTAATATTTAAATTAGAATTTTGATTTGTTATAATTTGTGCTAAAATTAAAGATTTTGATTTGTTGTGATTTGTGATAAATTTATTTTTTTTGACTTGTATTAAATTTAGATATTTTGATTTGTGGGGTTTGTGATTTTGATTATGAATTTTTATTTTGATTTTGTTTTTTTTTTTAAACAGTCATGAAAAAATATTTCAAAAGAAAATCAAAGTTGGAATTATCTCTTCCTCAAGAAGAAGATGATAATTATTCTTCCGCAAAATAAAGTCGCATAGAAATCAACTTAGCAGACTTTTTTGCAGATCTCGGACTACGGCATCGAATTATGGACTATAATTAATAGATGCCCCTATATTAAATTTCTACCTCCACCGTTATCTCACATGGGTGTGGGGTCCAGACATTTGCTGCATTTTTCGTCAAAAAAATATGCGGACTAAGACGAGTGGACCGGTGTCATATTACTTGAATTATCTTATTGAATACTTGAGAGTTGTTTAGCATGTGTTAAAATTATACATATATTTTTTTTTATCTTATTTGGATTACACTATCTCTCATTTGGGTTACATTACCTTTTTATTACGTTATATATATTTTCGTAAAAAGTTAAAAAATATACGTATTTAAATAATCCCAAACAACCATTTGGATAATAGGTGGTGTGACCTTAATTTTGGGCACGTGATGCTAAGATACAATTAGGATCGTGCAAAATACCACTCAATTCGTTAAAATTGTATCGATTTGTATCAATTCACACTGTTCTATCCGCAGATTAAATTTTAAAATTTATAATCTGCCTTCAAAATCGTTCCGTTCCACTATAGTTAATATATATATTTTTTAATCTCTAATAAAATATCAAAATAAAAATGAGTGTGTGAGAGATTTAAGATGTGAAATTTGTTAAAAATTAATAGTTATATATATGAAAAATATTATGTAAAATTAATTTCTATTATATATATAAAAAATAGGGTATGGCTTCTGTCCAGTCCGGGATCGGACATGCTGTTGGACCCATGAGGGCCACCACGGGTCCCTTTTTGATAATCTGAATCGTTCAAAGTGTAGAAATTGTCGAGTACTATATGCTAGTAAAAAATCACGTTAATCCGATATCGATAGCTATATGATCAAATCAGTTTCGTATTAAAAAATTGGACGGTGAACAAATTAACGGTTTGACAAAAAACTATTTTGATCACATAGCTATCGATATCCGATCAACGTGATTTTTTATAGGCATATAGTATTCGACGATTTCTACATATTGACGGTTCAGATTATCAAAACGGGACTCGTGGTGGGCCCCACGGGCTCAACAGCACGGTCCAGTCCGATCCCAGACTGGACAGAAGCCATACCCTAAAAAATATTATACAAATTAATGTTATGTATTATGATGTAAATATACTTGACAATTAGTTAAAATATTTTTCAATTTATGATTTACGAATCCGCAAATCTATCACTCGGTTTATAATTTTATTCTTAGGGTTCGTTTGGCATTGACTTTTTTAGAAAAAAATTTTGTGTTGAGGCTTTTTTAGCCTTTTTTGTGTTGAGACTTTTTTAGTCTGACCTCGTTTGGTTTTTGTTTTGAGTCTTTTTTAACTTTTGTGAGAAAAAATGTAACAATTATAGATAAAAAGTAATATTTTATCTTATTGACTTATATAGTCAATTTTATCTTTTTGTAATTATTTAGCTCTAAAATATTAGCAAAACCATAGCTTAAATCGTTCAAACCGCATCACGCGTTGTTTGGGAAAAAGAAGTTGAGGCTATTGTAGCCTCATATATGAAATAAGCCAAAAAGCGTGAATAGTGCACGCGTTTTGTACAGATGAGTTACAAACAGCGGTCGAATTACCATTTTACCCTTTGACTATTTCAAAGGGTAGTATACAGGTTGGGTTTATGCACAGCTCAAACAAAGCCTCTGCCCTATCTCATCTCTTGCATCTTTCACACTGGATTGTAGCGACACGAGTTCACGTGACTGATCTGTCTCCGGCGGAGCTCTGCCTTCCACACAAACTGACCGGCGAAGAACTGCGACAGGTAAATCACCTGAACTGATTGTACATCTGTTTGTTACCTTTGCTGACTCGGTTATGTTGATTTTTCATTCCGATCTACAAGATCTTGCTGTGTTTTGCCCCATACTGATGGTATTCGGTGGATATTTTCGCCGATCTGGTGATGATCTGTCTTTCCCCAAATTTAAATCACCGGCAACAACGATTTTTTCCCCCCCTCAGTTCAATGGCTAATAATAACCAGAATATTGTGTTCAGATGTTTTTTTTCCCCTCCTTGATTTCCATAATTATCAATTCACAATCCGAATGTGCAGATGATTAGGTTTGGAGTTGGAATTTTTTTTTTTTTTTCAAAATGATTACATTCCATATTTTGATCTTCGTACCAGTTGCTTCAAATCTGATTTTGTATGCTGTTTTTTTCCCTTTTTTTTTCCGTCAATATGTGTTTGTGCATCATATATAAAATGGAGCAAATTTTTCATCATTTTCCCTGTAAAGGTACAATAAATTAATTAAGACTGCAAGCCATTTTCCTGATTTTGTCAATAAAGGTAGAATAAAAACACTTCAAAATAAATTAATCTGGTTTCGTCATTTTCCTGAAAAAATAAATTAAGACTGCAAGCCATTGGAAAATAAATTCTATTCTTTACTTGTAATATACCTTCATTACAGCAATTAAAAACAAATTTCATACAACAAACTAAAATGATTGAACTCTTATTTTAAAGTGTTTTTTTTTATTATTATTATATTAGTCAAATATGCAGCTATATAATTGTGATTCATAGAGCTGCATTGTGGAACTTGTCATGCCTCACATGCATCTCAAATTACAGGCCGCCATGGGCTAGTTCATTCTCATGATTTTAACGTTTGGAATACATTTGTGGTTTATAAATTCTTGGACAGGACTTGAGATGGGAAATTCTAATTTAATCCGTTAGAAAAATTATAAATTATAATTTATAATTACATATATATTTTGGGCTTAAAGTAAAATATTTCTGAGAAGACCTAAATTTATTTAACAATGAAGTTTGTTAATGTTTCATATTCAAATAATTATTAAAAGAGTCTAATTTATTTAATAGCTCTTCAAGATAAATGACAACAACATAGCTGATATGTATTGGTTGAGTGGTTTATTTAAGAGTTCAAATGATCCAATGTCGGACTAGGCCAAACTTTAGATGACATAGCATGTTTGTTTGGATAGAATCACATCACAAAAATATTAACATCATGAAGGTCACTAAATGTATCTTTATTTGCTAGTATTTTCATTATTTATACTAAAGATAAACCTATATTCTCTATAAAGTGTACTAGAAAAATTTTAAAAATCACTATTTCTACTAAATATTTATTAGTAAGAAACAACGGATGGCTTCCTCTATGTCCACTAGCACGTCAACATGGCCACGACGAATGTGTGCTTGCGGCTATGGCCATTGTTTTGTTAAGGTTTCCAGATCCCACAAAAATCTTGGTCGTGCATATTATGTTTGTCCCTGGCCCGTGGTGGGCTGTGTAAAATATGTTGTTTGAATCTCCATTGATTGGCAAAATTGAACTTCCATAGCTAACCACAGTTATGTTTGTTACTCATCAGCAATGCGTAAATTGGATTGGTTAGTGTGATGAATCGGGGAGACCGAGCCCCAACCATGACTCATCCCCAAGCGAAGTCATGCAGTTACGGGCTGATATCGTGCAAATTTTTAATACCTTGAGTGTGAAAACGGTTATTTTTGTGTTGTGCATAACGGTTATCATATTTCTACTGCGCATGTAAAACGTTGTAACAACATCGTGTATGTATGTTGGATGCTTGTTTAACTAGTAATTGAAGTTACAAAACTGGACTACTGTAAATGCTACTTGCTATTATTAGTTATGTTTTACTTTTCTCCTATCTTCCAGTTTACTTTTGCATATCATATTTGCTTGTGAGATGTTGTCTATTTTCTGTTTCTAATTTATGTAACATGTGTACACTACCTTGTACCGTAATTAGTTCAATGGCGGCAACACGTTCGTCCCCTCGAACACGGTCCAAACATAAAGGTGTTGGACACTTGCCTAGTGAAGGCTTGGCTGATTACATTGATCTTTCATATAAAGTAACTTGGGACAGTGCATCAACTGAAATATTCTTAGAGTGTGTGCGGGAGCAAATTTTAGCGGGACGTAGGCTATGTACAACTATCATGGTTGTTGGGTATAAGGAAATTGCTGTGAAATTCGCTCAGTGCACGGGTAGACGTCATGACATGAAACAGTTCAAGAATAAGTACCTTGCTTTGAAAAAGGAGTAGCAGGCTTGGAATAAGTTGATGGACAACAGTAAGGGTGTAACCGGTATTGGATTTGACAGGGCAACTGGGTTGTTCACCGCGTCAGAGGAGTGGTGGGAAAATTTGAAATCGTTATGTAATATGTTGAATATACTTGTAGTGTATTGTTCATTTCATATTCGTAATTAATTTGGTTGTTTGTTACTTTACTACTTTAATTTGGTTTTTCTAATTTTTATTCTTCTCATTTGCAGACAAACAAGCTAGCTTACAAATTCAAGTCCAAGCCATTGGAGCATGAAGATTTGATGCGGGAAGTTTTCACAGGTACAACCGCAACTGGGAAACATTATTGGACCCCCGGCAAGCAAGTTGCGGACATTGCGGACAGTGAATCCGATTCAGTTGACTCCCCTGGGTTGGAACCATTTACTGAGCCATATCAACCGGTGGTGGACTCACCACCACCCTCCCCCATCGTCCAGGTAGATGAAGCGGAGCAGGGGTCAAAGTGCAAGAAGGGGGGTAGTACAAGTGGAAAGTCGAAGAAGCCGTCCAGCGGTGCATCAATGCTTGTAGACAGTTTCAACCATCTCTCTGAGGCGGTTCGTTCACAAAAGTGCCTTACGGTCAGGCATGGAACTAGTGCATCTCAGAAGTATGGCATTGAGATATGCATGCAAAGGATTATGGCTATACCCGACTTCCTCAATATGCCTCATTTCCACTTTGCCTGCATTGCATTGGAGAATGCAGATTACCGTGAGATACTAATGTGCATGCCTGATGATGGTAATGTGGTCGGTTGGCTTGTGGCATTCAAGGCCTTTAAAGGACTGTGAGTCCTGCGATTTGTTGTTTTTGGGGAAAATGGAAATTGTGTGGTGTTTGTGAACATGACTTGTGCTGTTATGTTTCTTTATTTTTGGTTTTTCCTAGCTTCGCTTATTAGTACTATTAGTTAAAATTAATGTTTTGAGTGAATGGATGCGAACCTAATGTCGAACATTTTATGTAGTATTGCTTCATGGAAGCGTGGTTTGTGTTTACTGTAGCATAATTCCCAACTAGAATTGTTCAATTTCATTGACTGGATTCCTCTTTATGGTTTGTAGGAAAATATGGATGTATGCATGGGCGTAACTAATGTTGTGTTGTGTGCATTGTAGGGTTCAAGAATTTTGATATGTGGAACGGTGAATATAGCAATCTGTATCGAAATAATGATGATGACATAATCGAACAAGCAGAACGACAGGAGGACCAACAGAACGATGTAATCGTTGAAGCAGCATGACATGTAATGGAATGTTACGTGAAGTACATGGAGAAGACCTATGTCGAACTTCAATTTTAACCGGTCGTGCATGGATTCAAGAATTATTTGATGGACACTTGGGCAAGGGCAAAGAAAATTTGCATATGCTGTATGTGTTTAAAGCGTTATGTGATACATTACGATGGGATTTTGGTTTATGGGTACCTAAAAGACCCCATGGATTACACATTGAAGAAAGTGTTGCCATGTTTATCTATACCTTGGCCGGCTACCAAAACCAAAACATTCAAGACAAGAGCGGTTTCAACACTTGGGAGAAACGGTTTCTCGACATTTTCATGCAGTGTTGGATGCAATGAAGTTGTTCACTGAACAGCATTGCAAGCCAACCAGAGATCAAAATAGTAGGCATCTCTACTTGCGGTCAAGAGGCAAATACATACCGTTCAAGGTGAGAATTCAATAATTGCCATTAAGAACACTTGTGTAGAATGCGGTGTACAATTAAATAGTTGTGATATGTTTTATTATGGCAGAATTGTATACGTGCGTTGGATGGAACTCACGTAGAAGCCGTGTTTCCTGCCCGCGATGTAGGTACATATTATGGCCGAAAAGGTTATCCAGCCCAAAATATACTAGCAGTCTACGACTTTGACATGTGCTTGTAGACGCGCTCCTGGGAACTCTCCGATATCCGCGCCTGCGAGGGCGCAGATCTCGTTTTGTTTTGAGCTACTACAGTTCGGACTCATGTCACGGTTCTGAATCTAATCTTACAATGTGCGATGTAAGATTGGTAAATCACCAAAGAATCCAAATCAGGCAAATCGTTTTGGAAAATTGATTTTTATAAAGAAGTGCCAAACATGGGCTGCTTTGCCAGATACAGAGTCGCCACCTAAATATTTTATTTTGGCAGAATTTAGGAAAGACTCATGCCTAAGGCCACGTGTCTGTCATCACCAAAGTTGCCTTGGCTCGGGAACTTGGGTACGAGAGGGGAAGGTCATGCAATGAGCACCCCCTCTCGCCCGATCAAAGATCGGCCTGTACTAAGCATGATATTTCGTTTTTGAAAACACATGTGTTCTTATTCTGGTTAATTAGCTAATCTTACTACGTGATGCGCACATCATACAAGTATAGACTAGATCGCCTAAGTTGGAAGAAAACATTGCGTGTTCGTTTGTGAAAATGATTTAAAGTTTGCTACTCGCAAGTAGGTTAAATCGGGGATTTCATGAATTGTTCCAATTCAAGCAACCCAACCTTCACCCACAGGCATTGAGGTAGTTATATTAACTAAGCAATTAGCCTCATGGCAAGCATGCTTTCATGGCAGTCAATAACACACATGTAGTATGCTAAAGCATAAACACTCATAGTGTACTTCGAGTCAAAACAGAGAACTAGTTAGAAATCATGCATGATCCTAGTTCATGTTAAGATGGCTAATACAACACATACAAAATACAGTTCAGATAGGCTCGGCTACCTAGAATGTCATGTGAAATGCAACTTGATAACATGCTGTTTGAACACGTATTCAAGTAATTGTATTGAAAATATAATGCTGGTTTGTATGATGCGCTGAGCCTGGTGCATGCAAAACAGATGAATGGATGCACGCATGCAAGCATAAGGTATGCTAATTGAAACATGCCCTAAAACTAACCATCGTAAGCAGTTAAGTAAAATGGAGAAAGAAATGGGGTTGGAAGACATGCATCACACACACGTACGCTTATTACAACAATGTGCCCTCTCGAGGGAGGGACCGAATAAAGAGCTAACTAGATAATCTAAGTTAATTAAACTAATTATTACATCACAACGAAGCTAATTAACTAATCCTAGTTAACTAACTATTACAAAACAGATAAGCAGCTAAACGCATTAACTACTTAATTACAAAACCAAAGCATGAACTAGCTAAGTACATTAGCTAAGTAAAGCAGCTAAGGAAAGCAATAAAGCAATGTCCTCTGAGGGAGAAGAGTTCATGCATGCCCAGTTGCTTCGTTCGGAAATCCAACGCGATGTCCCAATTTGCCTCTGTTTGCAACTGCTCTCAGAAACTTGCACCAAGCTCCAGATAGCTTTTAACACATCTTGGGGACCTGTGGGAGGGTTGCCGACCAGTTCTTGGTGAAGGAGACCACCTGCCGACCACTTTCTGTGCTGAAAAACAGAAAAGTGGTCGGCTAGCTAGTAATACTGGTCGGCTGACCAGTTGTTGTTGCTGAATTCCAATTTGCTACAACAGAGAGCAAGAAAGGGCATGACAATGTATTTGCAAGATATGTGTGCACAACCACCCTCCCTATCATTACATGAGCTCAAGAGAGTGTGGTTCTCGACCCTCGGGCCACCAGCCGCACATTTCAATGCATGATAGCCGAGAGGCGAAGTTGCACAATTCAATATAAAAATGAATGCATACATAAACACATAAGGCCTAAAACTCTATCATGTATGATCAAAAGCGTTGGCGACCGAGAATTGAGGCACGTTTTATCACTTTAAGTATGAAACGATTTCCCGTGTTTGGACTAACACCTATTCCAAACACAATGCAACACATAACATGGCATGCACAATGCTATGTAACATGGAGTATGAAAAAATGCAATGCAACATAAACATGCAAATATGCAATATGACTTAAACATGCAAACATGGAATGTAACATAAACAACCTAACAAGGCTAATAGCATGCACAATGCACAATGCTAAGGCATGCATATTCAATGCAAGACAACATAAGCATGCAACTATATGAACAACAACTAGCATGCACAATGCAAATGAACATAGCATACACAAATGCAATGAACAATATGGCATACTCAATGAAATGACTATCGTGGCATACTCAATGCAATATGATCATGGCATATACAATGCGAATCAAGAGCATGGCATGCACAATGCAAACAATAACATAACATGCACGATGTAACATAATATGGCATACACAATGCTCAATGGACTTAAACAAAAATGGACAGACCTCAGCCATGCCCAAATCAGTGGCCATAACACCAAAATAAAGGCACAAAACACAAAGCATGCATGCACAATGCATTGGCCAACTAAGTAGGCCTAAGAGCACAACCCTTAAGAAGGCTCAAGGAGTGATAAATGCGGAAGTGTAACAACACTAAATGCACTGAACTTAAGTAAGAAATGATGCCAAATCATTCAATCAAACACAAGTATAGCATGCAAAGGTCCTAAAGCATGAAAGCTAATAAAGAGGACTACAAAGGAGGCATACAATACATGGCACAAATGCATGAACCAATCATGGACAGAGCTGAAATAGGTCAAAACAATGACCAAAACATGCTAAGATGGAGGCTCAAAGACCTAGGCAAGATGACGTACATGTTAGGCCACAAACTAGGCAACAATGCACAACACTCAAAGGCATTCAAAGCATGAAAGAAGTAAAAATATAAGCATGATATAAGCTCTAAAATGTCATGTTAAGTGATGCTAAATCATGTACACAACACAAATGAAGCATGCTATGGTACCCATAGCTTGAAGCTAGCATAGGCATTTGTACTACAACTATGCAAAACATGAAACATATGGTCGAGGCACCCCAAAATAGTCCTAGAACATGTCAAAATGATACTAAAACATGCATGGAAGGAAGCCAAAACAAGCTAGCATGAAGGGCATAAGGCATGATGAATGCAAGGCAAATAAGGTGGATTACACTACACCTATTAAGACCAAGCATGAGATGACTTAACCAGCAAAATTTAGAATTATATCATGGAAAAATAACCCCAAAAACACATTGAAATGATGGCTCACCAGCTAAGGCATGAAGGCATACGCAATGGTTCATGTTAAGGCATAAAGGGGCAAACCCTCCAACGCATTGAATGAGTGATAAATGCAAGTGCATGAGCATGAAACGTAGACTGAAATCACATAATAAATGATGTCAAATCATTCAAATAGTCCAAGTAAAGCATGCTAGTGGACTTGACACACGAAGCTAACAAGCTAGAATGCACCATGGCTATACAAAGCAAGTCATGCATGGTCAAAACAACACAAATCAGAGCTAAAGTATGTTAAAACATGGACAAAAGCTTCTCAAGGTTAAGCCAAAAGCATGCTAGAATGACATGTCAAAGCATGAGGCATGTTAGGCTAATTCATGGAAATGCACTACAAGTGCATGGAGCATGCAAAGGCTGACCAAACCAAACCCTAACAGAGGTATGACATGGTAGAACATCACCAAAAACATGCTGAAATAGACTCAACACAAGCTAGAATAACATGATACTTCATGAAGCATGCAAGACTAGTGTGTGTGATTTACACTACAAGTGTATAAACTATGCATTGAGTGACTAAACCAAGCAAAAACAGTGGTAAGCCTCAGAAAAATAACCACAAATACATGCTAAGAACAAGCCAACACAAGCTTAATAAACATGCTCACACATGAGGCTAATGAAGCAAGTATTGAAGACACAAGTAGGGGGGATGACCCTTTCCTTTTTGGGACCTTAAAACACCATCCCTACCACTGAAATCCCTCTGAATTTCAGTGGTGAGAAGGCCAAACAAGGTGATCCCAAAGCTTAAAAAGAAGGCACAAGAACAAGGCCAAACAAGGCCTAAGAGGGGGTAAACAACCCCAAACACAAAAGTGACCTTAAATAAAGATCTTAAGCACCAAAATATAGAACTTTTTGTAGTAGGAAGTTAAGCTCAAAACAATATGCAAATAGGTTCAAAAGCTTAAGCAAAAATAGGGGTTTTAAGGGTTAGAAACTCACCCTTGAAGACCACCTTTAAAGTTGCAACTCCAGCAGGTTTTTCAAGCTCAAACCAACCGAAGAACACCAAACCAGCCCCTAAGCACCTCAGCAACAAAATGATGGTGTTTGAGTGTGTGTTTGTGTGTTAAAGTAAGACAAAATGACACTTTAAGGCACAAACAAGAGCAAACAAGGAAGAATAGATACAAAGGTATATCTATCTCTCAAGCCTCAATTTTCTGAAACTAAAGGAGGGAGGATGAACCTTCCTCTTATAGAGAGCAAAAGCATAAGCTTCTTGAAGAAGCTAAGGCTCAAGGCCATCCCTCCATACACGTGGAGGATGGTTCTTGTGCTCTCTAGCTGTGCCAGTTGGCCCAAAATATCTCAAAAAAGGTGACAAAAAGCAGCCGACCACTTAAAGTGGTCTCCCAGAACAATAACTGGTCGGCCATGGTAGGAGAAGGTCTAGAGCATGAAAACAAGCAAATGGTGTGGTGGTCGACCACTTTTGATGGTCCAAAGATCAGGGAGATCAGTTGTCAGACCAGAAAATTGGCTGGCAGGAGGAAAAGTGGTCTTTAAGGGGAAATACTGGTCTCCCACCCTTGTACCACCTTCCAAACAAGGAAAACAAGGTTTGTACCGAAAACAAACCAAAACGGATGCAAGACGAGAGATCGGGAGGCAAAGCACGTGGCCGAAAACCTCGAAAACTAGTCTACGGGCATCAAAAGTGGTCTCCTGGACCACAGTGTTCCTCTAGGCAGAGGCAACATGGTGTGGTTTAAAAATCA